TATAGAATAAAATCTAACAAAAATACTTAAGGTAACAAGCACATGTTAATTCCTCTTGTTTTTTTTTATCAAACATAATTGAGAAGTGAGTTGTATGCCTCGAAAGATTGAAGGACCATTTTGTATGTTTTGAAGTAACAGGAACCAAAGTACACGTTCCATGGCTTTCTCAATTTAGAAACAAGAACGAGAAAATAATTTTGTACACGCTCAAAAGATGTTTACAAAATATACGGATAAGAACAGCTTATTAAATATGACACTCGCAAGTATATATAAAATACACAGGAAAGATGATGACTATATTAATCTTGTCTCTTTCTTCTTTGCAATACGTAAATCAGATCTCAAAGTAGAATTGAAAATATCTACACAGAGGTGCAATAGCGAAGGTACAAATACCAAGATTGGAATAGCTGCAAGAAGCATGGCTGTTGTTATAATCCGACGGTATCCTTCCATCATAATGGCAAGAGAAGCGCAAAATGCACACATCATGGATGCTACAGAGAAGAATAGGGTGACAAGGCCAAAAAGCAACTTGAGGGGCAACCTCCACATGAAATCTTCCTCAGCATACCGCGATGTAAGGATCCCAATAAACATCAAGACTGATGATGAAGAGGTTATAAGAGATAGTGCATCTGCTACAATGAATACAGAAAATCCATTTTTACCCAAGAACATGGGTTTGCCATTATTTTGATTGTTGCCCCCGAGTGAAGGCCGCAGCGAACATTATGGTAATGATGAGAGTACCCACAATTGTGAAAGAGGTTGATGTGTCTTTTGCCCATTGCTTGCCGTCATGCACAAGCTGCTCATGGCTTTTGGTAAATAGTTCACGAGGCTTAACATCATCACCATTTTTAGCATCGTAGCACATGCGAGGCACAATGCTCTCTACAGCCTGCATGCAATGTTAATTTTTGTCTGCTATAATGACTTCTTTATAAATTTAACCAAACTAGAACATAACAAATTACTTCTTTTATGATGAAAAATACAAACAAAAAAACATTTTCTAAAGTAATAAAGAATTGGAGAACCAAATTAATGATGCATGGTGGAAGAACATAGACGTGCCTTCTCATTTTTATTGGATATTGCTTATACGTATGTGGATTTGATTACCTTAAACCACTGAAGTTCTCTTTGCATTTGCAGAGCTGCATTGGGTTTGAGACCACGGTCAGTTGCAGGCCCTAATTCTGCTGCCAGGTGCAACATGTTATTTCCAAACACATCTTCACGGGATATAATCATTTCTTTCTGACCCTCTACTTCATGTATGAGTTTGAACACTTTTTCTTGACGATTCAAAATTGCATGTGCAAGTATGCCTCTTCTATTTTTGTCTACAGCGGATAAAAGGTCAGGATTTGCTGCAGCCATTGAATATAGGAACTCAATAATGCCATACTTGGCTGCCTGTAACATAGCGTCGTAAGCTGACCACTGACGCAACTCTGATTCGAATGATGTTCTCTTTATTCTTTGACTCATGCATTTTAGAATCTCAAGTACTAGATAATGGTTCATTTTCATCTCATATATATCCTTAATTCCTGAAAGCATTAGAAAGTTTACAAACTAAGCAGCAGAAGGCATTGAAGCAGCCATGTACAACACTATGACTTAAATAAAGTTGTAGCTCTTTAAAAAATTTATAATTTTCTTCTTCCGTATCTTATTTTTAATTTTATTTTAATATAGTAATCTAATTATTATTTTCATTTTCATCTAGTCATTTGGTTAATTATATTTTTATGTGATTTAAATGGTATTTTAGTTTCTATATCTTATTTAAATTTTTAAGTTAGTCTCTATATGTAAAAAAATTTATAAATTATTTTCTAAACGTGCATTTATTTTTGACTTATTCTTTATCGTTAAATTCAAAGTTAACGATGTTAAGTATACAAGAGACTAAATTGAGAATAAATGTATTTATAAAGAGTGATTTATATATTTTTTTAAATATAAGGACTAACTTACAAATCCAAATCAAAGGTATTTTTGTAAATTTGTGAGATATCATATTGGTTTGTATATTGATTTTAATAGTGTCGAGAAAGTGAAAAAAAACATAAATGGATGTGCCTGTGATTCTGCTTCTAGCAATAATGATGAGGATACATTTGAGAGTGGAGAGGGTTTTGATGAGGGATTAAGGTTTGAGGTGAATGGATGTGGAAAGGGAGAAGGTGGTGAAGTGATTGAAAAGAGAAGGGAAGTCAATGAAGATTAGTGAGAGTTTGTTGAGTTTTGGGATTATAAGCCAAGAGAGGAAGAGACTCTAACTTCCATTGAAACTTATGCAAGAAAGAAGAAAAATGGAGAAAGTGGAATTGGAGGTAGAGACAAAGAAGAGGGAGTAAGGGTGGGAGGGATGAAGTAGTTGAAAAGATAAGAGAATTTGATGAGGGTTGTCAAGAATTGACTGAGTTTTAAGGATGAGAAGTCAAGAGAAGAAGAAACTCTAAACTCTACTTCCATTAAAGATTGGAGTGGGTTTCTGAGGTAAAGAAGCACAAAAGACAGTGATGAAATATGACGATGTCAGTGTTTTGTTTATTCGTTGTTATATTTGACTCAAATTTGTAAGTTGATTTTTATATGTAAAAAATTTATAAATTAGTCATTATATGTATATTTATTTTAATTTAATTTTTTATTTATTTAATGTCATTTACATTAAACTCAACAGTAAGTGTTAAATAAAAATAAATATATGTATAGAATTGATTTATAAATTTTTTATATAAAGAAATTAAATTATATATTAAATTATATATTCAAGTAAAGTATAAGTATCAAAATATCATTTAGACTTTTTATGTCATTTTGTATGAAACAAGTCATATGCAACACAGGTAGATAGAAAAAATAATTAAATAAAAATTATAAATTATTAAAAGACTAAAAACTTATTTAATGTAAATATCATTATAAAAGAAACTAATTTGAAGCATTCATGATATGATTGCACGTACCTGGTAATTTTGGAAGTATTGAAGTTTGACAGAACCGTAGAAAAAGCCCTGCCCAAGCAAGAGTTTTTCCAATATAAAGATCAATAATACTTGCTATAAAATTGTTAGTAAGTAGTAAAACAATATTTGTAATACTCTTTAATTATTGATTAAAATTTAATAAAAAATTATAGAATTATGAGTAAAATTTACATAAATTTTAATTAATAATAACAAGTGTATTTGAAAGAACATTTTGACTTTACTAATATTTCTCTAATTACTATTTGTGGCATTTGGTTTTGAGATGTTTTACTAGCACTGGGATAGAAACCGCTATGCAAATTTTACTTGAACAAGCATCGTATAAATGTTACATTACCTTAATCCTTATGGGTAGGGTATTGAGTGATTCAACCAAAATAACATAGCTTAAGATATGATTATGTATACCGATAAGATCACACAGATAGCAAATATGATTTAAGTTTTTTATTTTAGCAAATAATATCATGATATATCATATCAGTCTAGCCATGATTCTAGGGAATTAATTACTAGCAATTGTGTATATATGTACAACCTGCTGAATCAATGAAAATATAATCAATTCCATTACTTCTCTTCTTTTCTAACTTGGTATTAAGAAAACATTAATAGCTCATTACGCTCTCTTCATTCTTATTCACTGATCATCATGGATTCAATAGCAAATTTAAATCAGAAAACTCTCACTTCCACTTGCCCTGTCAAGCTGGAAAGAGGAAACTACATGTTGTGAAAGTCATTAGTTTTACCATTAGTTAGTGGAAGTAAATTGGACGACTTTCTTCTTACCACAAAGGAATGCCCTGAGCAGTATATTACCAAAGAAACAAACAAGAAAGTGAACATTGCTTATGAAAAATGGGTTACTAATTGTCAACAACTTTTAAGATGGCTTTTCAATTTTCATGACACAAAACATTGCTGCTCAACTACTACACTGCGAGACCTCAAAGGATTTTTGGGAAGTAACCCAATGTCTAGTAGGAGCACAAACACGGTCTAGAGTCACACTACTTATTAAGTCTGAATTGCGTAGCACTCGCAAAGGAACCCTCAAGATGGAGGAATACTTGATAAAATGAAGAATTTGGTTGATAAAAGTAATAAAATTTCATTTTAAATATATTTATTATATAAAAATATAAGAAATATTAATATTTCTATTTTTATATATTTAAAATAAACTAACGCTAACAAAATCATTAATTTCATTAAGGATGAACAGAAAACATACCTTTCATTGTTGAAGTGCCCCTCTTTGGTCCTCCATCACGTGATCCGATATGGATTGTTTTGTCAACCCTTAAATCTGTAACTAATACGTTAGGAAAACATGCCTTTTTTACGTGTAACTATTATTAGTAAATTATTATTTAATAATATATATTATTTAGTTATAGTATTTATAATATGTTATTGAAAGTTAGGAAGAAATTATTAACAATAAATACTCTAATTATTTCTATTATTATTTAAGTAATGAAAATTAAGTCTAAGGTTGCTCATGTTTTTCTCCAGTCAAATTAGTACTCATATTAAAAAATCTATGCACTAATTTATCTATTACACATTGAAGTACTGATTCAACCGACTAAATACATATTCAAGGACTACATGTATAATTTCTATCGTTCAACAAATAAATCACTCTAAACCTTCGTGAGGGGCGTGAAACAGCAATGAAGGAAGTATGTCACCTCAACTATTCCTGAATGTTATAATAATACCTACATCTTAATTAAATTATTGAAATGTCAACCATTACTCTTAGGGACCAGTTAATAAATTAAAAATAAACATTTTTTTTGCTAAAAAATATAAACTACACTCACTCTCATTTTTCAAAATATTTAAATATGATTTTTAATAAAAAATATTATTTATTAATTTCTAAATCAATACCTAAACAAAACCCTTTAAAAATATATTTGTATTTGGTTTCACTCTAACATAAGTCACAATCTAGATCACATACCATTATAGGCTGTGGTAATCTAAGTAAGAAGTTAGAAACGTACTGTGGTAAATAAACCGCTGAAGACAATTTAGTTTAGTTCCACTACGAAACGCAGAAGGGATGTGAGCTAATGCATATAGAGGCCGCAAACATTGATCGGATTCGTAATCAAGGGATATATTTTTAGCACCGGTGTGTTGGAGTAATGCTGCAGCAACATCTGTATCAAGATATATTGTAAGTAATTAATTCATAAATATATATTAAATAAATATCCAATAACTAATGAGTTATGAAATTATTAACACCAATACAAGTTAGTTATGTAATTAAAATCGACTTGCTACTGTGTCAAACATGACACTTTAATCAAATTGGTTGTAGTGAATGATGATGTCTTACCAAATATTTCTGCGGATATGCATCGCGAAAGAAGAACAGAGGCGCACCTGCAATTGTTTTGTAGCAAAACAGACCATGGAGTACCAGAGAAGAGATATCTAACCATATTTCGGTGACCCTTGTTCGAAGCAAGAAGCACAGGAATCTCACTTTCATCATCCTCTGATTTGGTCTTGATGGTGAGACTAAGAAGTCCCTCCCCTCCTTTACTAACCATTCACTCTGCTATTTTCTCGTTGTCATATAATTCAGCTGCAAGAGCTAAGGCAGTGTAACCTCCCTTGTCTTGCATTGTGAGCAATCGTTGTTTTTCAATTTCAATTAAATTCTTCACAATTTGATTTTGACCTGCAGCCACAGCAACGTGAAGAACAGTTCTCCCACTGTAGGGTGTATTAAAAATATCTTCAGGAAAACGGTTGATATGGGTTTTCACTTCAGTCCATTTGCCTCTTTTTATGGAACGATGAAGCTGGTCAAGTTGATAACTACAAGGACGACCAAGCTCAATATCATGATAAGCTTTCATGTCTTCACTGAATGAAGCTTTAAGTGATTCCATGCTTCTTGGGCTGTTTTACATTTTCTTATTTGGTTCAGAGTCCTGTATCCACAGGACAATTGAATGGCGTGTAAAGCCTTGCCATTTTGGGATTTCCAATAGGAGTTGTTGTTATCAAGGTCAATATTACCCTCAACAACATTGTCCCATAGTCCTTCACCTACTAGGTAATTTTTCACAAGCGTGCTCCAGTTCAAGTAATTATCCTTAGTGAGCGCTTCTCCAGCTATTCCATTCGACCCAAAGCTTCCACCTCCCATTACGCTTTGCTCATCAAATCAAAACAAAAATACATTAGCAGTTACACAAAGTAAAGTGGATCGGTCCAAACTCTCACGGATCTGAAGAGCCTTCGACTCTGAACTCTTACTGTGACGATTCAACGCACCTTCGATGCAAGTCAACCGCCGCCGGATCTGAGCATTGAGGCCCTTACTACCATTCAGGCGAGGACTTTGCAAAGACTTCTTATCGCCTTCAGGTACTTAGTTCGACAAAGCATCTCTCTTTATCGTAGTCATTTTTTTTTTTTTCATATACAAGTTAGATGTATTCTTAATAATTTTATATAAAATATGATCTGGAATAATAATTATCTATTATTTTAATTATTTGTGTTAATTCAAACAAAATTAAAAAACTACAAAAATATAATTGCAGCATCTTTATTTTTATATATTTTTTAAAATATATATATATATATATTACATTAATTTTTATGTATAAAATATAAGGTATTAAATAATTTGATATTTATATAAAATTTTGCAAACATAATTCATACTGTTATAAGTTTTAATTTAACATTAATTTATTTAATAAAAAGTTATGAAACAGTAAAAATAAATGCATATAATTTATAACAATGTAATTCAATCCTTTCCTTACACATATAAGCGACGTATCTTGTGAGAATGAAAAAAATAAACTTTGATAATTAGATCTTATTATAAATAATTATGTAAATTTTTTAAAAAGTCATGTAATCTTTTTAAGTGATGTTCCTCTTGAGGTAAAATGTGTGTTTTTTAGAAACAATTATAATTAATTTTTTTTTATAATTTTAAATCTTTCCACGTACTATCTTCTTTTCTTAATGTATTAAAGTTATAACTCATTTATAACTTGTATGTTTTTATGATAATGAAAAGTTTTTTAGTTTTATTTTTATTATTTTAGATCAAAATAAGCCTTTCAAATTCCTTTTATAATAATAAATGCTTGCTATTTCACGGAAAAATACATTTAAATTGTTGAGTTTTTTGAAAATTAAAAAGAATTATTTTTTAGGAAAAGATGTAAAACATATATTTACTAATTCTCTAATAAAAAGATTAAATTACGATGCATTTTAATTTTTTTAATGGAAAAAGTTATATAATTTTAAGATGAATGAGAATGCAGTATACATGAATATTGTAAGTTACAGCAAACTTTCCAGTAATAATTTTTATTTTCACCTTTATAAATAAAAATAAAAAATTATATACGTTGGTGTATACAATAGTATTTTTTAAATATTAAAAATAACAAAACTGATGTGAAATAAGTTTTCCAGTATACTCTTTTAGGTTGCATGCCGTGTCACAAATAAATTTCTTATGGTTGTTATTTTACTCTCTACTATTCTTTTTGTGCTAATTGAAGAGTACTGTATTTATATTGTATGTCAGTTTCTTTGTTTTAATTCTTCTATACTGATTATGGTCTTCATTCAATTTTTAACATGTGATTTGTCAACAAGACTAAATCAGCGGCACACGACTACTGAAATGTTACTCAATTTGGTAGAGTTTTTAACCAAAATAATATATAAAAAAAATAAAAATATTGAAATAGACCTGTCCCAAAAATATTTACCAAAGTAGACCGATTCATTGTTTATGTACAAAATTCGTCTTTCCAAAAACTAAATTCTGGTCTTCGAATTTGTGTCTGTACAGTAGATTCTCAAATGGAATTCGGTTTTGGGGCAACCGAATTCCATACATAATTTGCATTTTTGTTTTTGTATATAATAAAAAAATATTATCTAATATTTATGTTTATATAAATATATATTGTCAAATTTAATAATAAAAATAGTTTTAAATAATAAAATAAAATATATTATTTGAATTCTATTTTTATTTTTATATTATGTGAAAATAAATATTTATATTATGTTAATTTGTGTGACAAATGCATCCCCTCATTTTGTAAATTACTTTTAATATACTGCGAGTTCACTCCAAAGTCGATTTCTGAGAGCGGTTAAATACGAACCGCTCTCCAAAGTCGACTTCTGAGAATGGTTAAATACGAACCGCTCTCCAAAGTCGACTTCTGAGAGTGGTTAAATATGAACCGCTCTCCAAAGTTGACTTCTAAGAGCCGTTAAATACGAACTGCTCTCCAAAGTCTACTTCTAAGAGCAGTCCAATTTGAACCGCTCTCCAAAGTCATTTTAATATGAATTATGAATATTAATATGATAATATTATTTTGAATAAGTGTTTCATTTAAAATGCAACATGAGAAATTTTAATATTAATATGTGAAAGTGTTTGAAGGGGCTGGATTGTGGGAAGTAAAATTATGACATTTATTAATATAACGTCTAGTTAAGTTAGCTTTTTCTTCTTCTTTTAAATATACTTTTAAATTTCTACATCATATTCTTTATTATTTTTATTTATTAAGATAAATAAAATATACATATTTTTTAATTTAATAAAATAATAATTCAAAAATATTTTATCATTTACATATTCAAATAAATATATGCCAAATATTCTTTATTATTTCACATAATATAAATATATAATTATTATTTCACACAAATTAACATAATATAAATATTTATTTTCATATAATATAAAAATAAAAATATAATTCAAATAATAAATTTTATTTTATTCTTTTTAAAACAATCTTTTTATTATTAAATTTGACAATATATAAATTATATAAACATGGATTCGTACATGCATGAAGGTTGGAGGATTTGGAGAGCGGTTTACTTTCACCGCTCTCAGTAGTCGAATTTGGAGAGCGGTTCGTTTTGAACCGCTCTCAGAAGTGAACTCGCAGCATATTAAAAGTAATTTACAAAATTGAGAGAATGTATTTGTCACATAAATTAACATAATATAAATATTTATTTTCACACAATATAAAAATAAAAATATAATTCAAATAATAAATTTTATTTTATTATTTAAAACTATTTTTATTATTAAATTTGACAATATATAATTATTATATAAACATAAATATTAGATAATATTTTTTTATTATATATAAAAACAAAAATGCTAATTATGTATGGAATTTGGTGAGATTTTTACAAAAATAATATTAAAAAAATAAAAATTATAATAATAATTGAATTAATTTTAAATTTGTATTTGATAAAAATTGCAATAATGATTTATTTAATTTTATATTTTTATAAAATAAATAAAAGTATTAAATAATAATAAGATTATTTATTTAATTTGAGATATTAATCTTTATTAAATTTTATACATAATTATTTATTTAAAAAATATTTTATTAATATTAATAAACATTATTAAATAATATTATGTAGATATATATATATATATATATATATAATATATTTAATATAAATTACTAATACTAAAATTTATAAGTTGCAATGACATTCATAAAATTAAAAATTACATGAAGAAAATTTTAAAGTAATAACAACAACATAAATCAATGATGGGAAGTAGAAGCTTGAGTAATGTTTGGACATGTCTTCCTTGTGTGACCAGAGGTGTGACAATAAGAACAATTTTTTTGCCGACTTTGTTATTCTCTAATGTCCATCTCTGTCCTTATCCTACTAGACTTGGGTCGACCCTTTGAAATTCTTTTCAGTTCTGTATTTGGACACAAAGTTGGGCTCGTGTAAGTTGGCCAATAGTCTTCATGTCTGAGTTCTCCAAACTGACCTTCGTATACCTTAGAAACTTGTTGTAATGTATACATGGGAGATATGTATATGTTAAAGTTATGGTGTGTGTATAAGCATGAAGCAAGTACATGCGAGCATGAGATGTGAACTTTTTGAAACTTGCCACAATCACACCACATTTCATCTAACCGTACTGTAAATCTTCCTACGGGTCGAATTTCTGTCGGATGTTGCATTTCTTCGACTAAAAATCTAGTGCTTATTCTGTCAAAGGTTATGACTCTATGAGTGTTTGCATTTGACTGTGCATCTTGAATTGCTTTAGTTGCAACCTCTGAGTACATATGTCTAGCATTAATCATTGCATTTACTTCTCTGCCTCTGTCAATGAAGAACTTATTGCAACGGGTGTATGTTGCCAGGACCATGGAGCAAATTGGCAAGTTTCTGGTTTTCTTCAAGACCGAATTGATTGACTCCGCTAGGTTTGTTGTCATGTGTCCCCAGCGTCGTCCATTGTCCCATGCCAGTGTCCATTTTTTCCTTGGGATGTTGTCCAACCATTGTGCAGCTTCAGGATTATTATCTTTTACTATGTTGTAATAGTAAAAGAATCTCGGTTCAGTCATTCCATATGCTGGAAACAAGATTACAAAAAAAATTAATATAACTAGCTAAGCAATTGTATAAAATATTAATGAGAATATAAAGTACGTAAAAAATTAAAATTACTCATATTGACGATATC